TGGCATAGCTTTGCACTTATTTTATAAGGTTTTAATAAAACCTGCTGCCAAGATGGTAAATAAATTCTCATCAACTTACGTTTCGGCGTTATCGCTTTCTTCAGAGTTGGGAACCTCCAACAACAACCGGTCGTTTAGACGACCGCCGCTAAACGAAACGAGTTCATTGGGGAATATCACCTAATTCCTACACACCAAACGTTCTTCTGGCTATTTACCGCCGTGCTACATCCCTATACTACAGAAGATTCATAGACCCGTTCGCAGCCAACTGAAAGGAAAGAGGTTAGGCTTCGTGGACGAAAAACTTTTTGCTCACGAAAGATTTTTACCGAAATACCTTCGGCATTTAACCTATTTTCCAGACTAGACGCGTAATTCTGCATATAGAAACAAGCGGAAATCCATAGAAATAAATAGAATTCTAAGCTATTCGAAATTTCTATTTTTAAATATGAATTTCGTTCACGGATGCGCACTCTAAAAAACTATACGCTTCATAATACTTCAGCATCTAGATGAAGGTTTTCCAAATTTGAAACAGGCGAAATCTATACACAATCAGCTCGGACCGACGCTTATTGAGGAGAATCATTTTCTTCCCAATAATGATTTTCCGGACAACCATTTAAAGTGTGAAAATATACTTACTATATATGAATAAAGCGCTCGCGTTTGCCTGTCTGTTTGCACGGAACTTTGATATCACCATATGAGATATGAGAGTACGAGGTGTCGTTGAGTACTACACCCGTCTTGAAGAACGCTTGTTTGTTGTGGTGTAAGCGGTAGTTGAAGGCGTAGGCAGTAAGGTGTTCATGCTTAATATGTATGGATGCTTCATGAGCTCTACGACAATTTCACGACCAGTATTTTGTCATGAATCTGTCTTGTCATTGGGGGGAAGGCATCTTTCATAGTCCACGACCGGTCGCTAGCGACTGGTCGCTCGACTGGTCGCTTGACTGGTCGCTTGACTGGTCGCTTGACTGATCGCGCGACCGGTCGTGGACTATGAAAGATGCCGAAGGGGGAGGGTTTCGGCAGAGCGCCCAAAATTTCGTGTCGCTCTCAAGAACATCATGCGTCAATTGAAATGAGAAGCATGGAGGTAAAGGTCAACGGCCGCTACTTACATCATCTCCGCTGGATGACATCGTGCTTATTACACCGAATATCGAGGAACAAATCCTGGCCAATTACACAACGCTGTGAAAATATATACATAAAAAAGTCGGCGAAGACGATGTTCATAAAGAATGGTTGATACTCAACGCTTGTTTTAAGCCAGAAAAAAAGGACGTCTCTGATACTTGTATCTAGTTTCGAGAAGACAACACAATGAAGCCGCCACCTAGCCTGAAGCTAATCACGAGGAAATCGAGGATGCGACATTCAGGAACATGGAGGGAGTAGAGGAAATTTATACCCGAGAAAAGCACGATGAATTTGCAGCCAACTCAGCGTGCTGCGGAAAGGACGATGCTCGGGATTTCACTATGCACTCGAGTGCATAGGGAAATCCGTAGGTCATGCTCCGTCAACGAACGGAGATCAGAGGCGCCGTTGCTTACGCCAAGCGATCGAGGACCAGGTGGGCCGGCACATTATATTGTGATGATCGTTGGAGCGGACGGTTATTGAACAGTATGAGAGACGCGGAGACGCCCCGTCGAACGAACACAGGGAAGGCCGCCAATGCTATGGTGAGACTTCACGAAACGCTAAACGAGAGAAACGCTGTCTTTGTGTCTCTCGAGCAAGGACGGTTGACTTTGGCTAGCGACAAGGCGAATGAAGAGACGTTTTGGTGCTCAGTCGAGGAAAAAGATGGTCAACACAACGACAGATGATACGGTTGATGTTGTTTGGTAGAGACGGGACTTCCCAAAGAATGAGAGTTCTTTGATCAGTAGATTCTTCTTCGGACCAAGCATTCTAGGTACATACATCATGCCATTCGTGTTCTTTTTTAATTTTTTGGTAGAGTTATCCTGAGCCTGACGTCTATTTCAAATTTGCTCAATATACAAATTCATCTTCCAGGTATTGCACCCTAGTCGTTTGGATCGCTTTCGTTGTACTGCATATGGGTACAGTGAACAAAGCGTTGACGATGAGTTTCTCATTTTCACTCTCAGCTTCAATACCTCTGTTATTGTTGTTCTTTCCTAAACTCTATATTATTATTCTGCATCCCGAAAAGAATGTCCGAGCTTCCTACACAACCACGAAGTTGATACGGTAGGTTCATTTTGGCTTAAGGTATAGCCAACGTGCTCGCCACGTCGACACGTTTTTCAGGTGCCACTTTGGGAATTCTCAAGGGACTTTCGACAGCAAGCATTTATCGAGTAAAACAACGCGAGCATCGTTGCAGTCTGGGTCGGTAAGGTCGGTGAACGAAGTTTTGGAGCTTCAGGAACTTTGCAGCCTTACCGGGTTGCTAGTATTAAAAACTCATCAGTGATTAGACTAACATGCTCCCTGCTTTTTTCACTCGTCTCAAATAGCATGAGGCGAGTGAACAAACTGGTGAGCGCATGCTGTTCGAGACGAATGAACAAACTAGTGAGCATCTCGAACCGCTCACTAGTGAGTGTTTGTAGAGCGTGATTTAAAAAAGTACTTTTTTCAGGAGCTCCACAAAATCGTCCAGTTTAGCAGGAGCTGGTGCAGGAATCACTCGAACTGCTTCTGTTCATGTACCGGCCGCCATTAAACCAGGACCAGGTCTTATTGACAGCTCAACTCAAACTGAAGGTACTTCGGGTACTTTTAGTACACCCCATAAGAAAGGAAGCGTTTTTCTTAAATCGTGCGAGTCAGAAAAACCTTGCGGGCATTGGTGGCAGCTAGAGGTCATTTATCGATTCCTCCGCTATCTTTTCAGGTTGGAACAACTTGAGAGTGTGCCTCAAATCGAGCTTTTCCATAGTAAAGCTCTATTGTTGTTTGAACTATCATTTTGTAGAACCTGAACAGTTGAATTCAATAGTACATCCATCTTTATGAAGACGGCATTTTGAGCTACTTATCAGGAAAGGATCTGAAAACGAAGTGGTCGTCTGGAATGAGATCTGTACTGCTAAACCGGATGCTGATCTCAAATCTGTTTTCTAAATTTGCGAGCGGTTCTCTGAGTGGAGTTATAAGGTTATTTCAGGTGAGGTCCAACATAAGCGAACTTAAATTACATGAAATCAATATGAAAGGTCAATCAGCGGTGGCTTGGAGCAGTGGTAAGGGTGACGCTTCATGTGCAGGAGACTAGGGCTCGGGTTTTGTGAGGGGCGAGAATTTTGCAATGTATTGAATTTTTCCTATTACCCTAGAAATTTCTTTTATGTTAATTTATTTTAATTTATTCCTTCTACGTCCTTTTGCTGTTTGTGGTGACGAAGTTCCTACCCAAACCATGCACTTCAATTTTTTTTGCATGTTTGTTCACGCTGTATTCACAGTGGGGCGAATGGGGTGCAGTAGCATCACCCAAGTATGGTCCGGAAACGAAGTCCGTTCAGGTCAACCAAGCCTTCCATCCCTCCGGGGTCGATTAGTTGGTGGCAGACTCATCTGGGTGGATAAAAGCTTTGATCTGTATATCGGATGGTCACCGCGAACAACTGCATAGCCCATATAAGCGTTCTACATGCCACTATGCTGTAATCGAGTGCTCCCAGAGGCAGAATCGATCAACGCCAAAGACTTGATTTTTCCAATCCTCCATATTCACGATGAAATTCAGAGCGACGTGCACATTCTGCGAACTCCGGCCCCAAGAGATCGGAGGGAAGCAGATGAGTATGCGGCCGCTCCCTGCAACCACCCGCCCCTCCGCCATTACGCCTTACCCTTTCCTTGATGGTCCCTATGTCAGAAGTTTTTTATGGTTTAGAGTGTATGCGATCGTGAGTGGCAGCTCCAAACACAACCTTCTCAAGAGCTGGTGAAGGTGATGAACATTCCCGCTTGTAGTACGAGGCTAATACAGCCAATCATAGCTCTTTCTTGGCCATCCGAGAATATTATCATCTCGTTACGCGCAATAGCTCAGAATCTGAACTTTTCTTCATACACTCGTGGCTTACTATCACCTGCCCACTTTCACTTCTGTGCTGTTAGATTTGTAGACTTCTTACATCATCGATGACACGTCGTGTGCTACATAAGCACTCACTCATCAGGGTCATTTTGAAGGCACAGTTCACGATAATTTTGGGTAATCTAGATCATGATGAAGAATAGAAGACAAGAACGGAAATAGTGCGATGAAGGTGAGGAAGCTGTGTGAATCGGTATTTCCAAAGTAAAAAAAGACTTCGAAAAACCGTTCGAAAGGGGGCTGGACGAGAATGAGCCCAGAAAAATGAAGATGGGGCCTTTGGACGAACTATATACAATGTGTCTAACTGCGTTCATGTGGTTCCTGGTGCGAATAATACATAGACTACGGTAAGCAAAAATATATTCACTCATAAGCATAAGTTAACAAAAATCCCTAGAGACGGCAAAAATAGCCCACATTTTTCATCCCTTTGGGATAGAAAATTCAATAAGGGATCGCGGCAGCAAAAAGACTAACATAGGAAAAAAGAGTGGGAGAAAACATCTTCTCATCACTTGGCGACCAGCTGACCATGTGTAGGTCCTAGAACGAATAGTTGCAATCTGTATTGCCTCGACACTCGTCTGACGTGACATCGACCGAGGGGCGGGAAAGCGGGGCCTTCGCGTCCCTCGAATTGTCATGAACTGTGCCTTTAACGTGCCTACACAACTTTGTTTTCGCCTACATGCAAAAACATTGCGATATTGCATGGTCTGGGTAAGATCGTTGCCACCATAACATCAAATGGTCATAGAACGCGATAAGATTAACATTAAAGGGAAATCTAGGCTACAAGGAAAAATTCGATATAGTGCGAGATTCTCGCCCCTTACAATACCCGTACCCTTCTCTCCCGCACAGCCCTTACCACTGCTCCAAGACACCGATGATAGACTTGTCACTTCCACGTAGTTTGAGTTGACTTATGTTAGGCCTCACCTGAAAACACCTTATAACTCCATTCAGATTATCGCTCGGCCAATTTGGAAAGCAGGTCTGAGAACAGCATGCAAAACCACGTCTCTCAGTGCAGGTCATATTTCAAACGGCCCCTTCGACTTGGGGTCCTGTCCTGGTGAGAAAAAAACAAAAAGAATTGGATTAGTACTTGTTTTGATTTGATATTCTTCTTAGCTGCTGTTATATCGCTGCAGTACGCGATGCGGAAGTATTGAAAGGTTGGCGATTTGTTGGCAAAACTTAGGCCTCGAACGGGACTCAGATCCGCACTTCTACTATCCTGCCACCGTGCTTTCATCCTTTACCGGCACCCCGCTTTGCACTCGCCTTTATACTAGCTTATATGCCATAGCTTATGAGCACTCACACGTGCAACGTGTTCAGCCGGTCGGCCAATAACAGCATCGAACCGTTAAGCCAAAAGCTGTTCTTGTTTTTTCTTGTTTCAACTTGATGTTCTTGTACTGCGGCGAATAGCAGAGGTTAGCAAGAACATTGAATCAAAACAAATTATAACAAAAACATATTCCGGCTTAACGATGCAATACTGATATTGGCTGACTGTTTCAACACGTTGCACGTGTGAGTGCTAAGAAGTTATGCCATATAAGCTATTGAAATGGCGAGGGTAGGTGGGATGTCGGAAGTATAAGGGAAAAAAACCACGGTGCCCGGAAAGCACAAGTACGGGTTAGAATCCCATCTGAGGACGAAGATGTGAGTTCTGCCCACAAATCGCCATCCTTGCGAGACTTTCAGATCGCTACTGCGGCGTTAGAACATCAGGATAGACATACATGTAGCAGATCAGCGTTGCCGTATTCTAGGGATCCCCAGCGTGCAGCTTGACCTAACGCGAGAGCCGTCCGCTATGGTATGCTCATTCACACTCTTAGTGGAATTTGAAAGAATTTGAACACTCTTTGTATGCACATGCACAATGAATCGGGGGACTAGCCGATGTTTCAAATTGGGGCTGTTGTTCTTTCATACGATTCTCATGCAATCAGTCGACCTTAGAAGGACGGCTTGAATGGCCTGCGCAGCGACCGATCCAGAATGTGGTGGCCGAACCATACCATTTATAAATGAGAATCTTTCAGCTACCGGCAAATTCGCCAGGTCTTTCTCGATAGTAGGCAAAAAGAAGCCGATCGATGAAGACGTCGCACAGTTGGTAGAGGCTTGCCGAAGATATCAAGTAAGCTTTATTTTCATGTCTTTACATGTTGTCAACACATTTTGTTGTGCCTTCGAAAAAAAAATCTGCACAAGTTGCGCGTGGCGACTGCTCGTAGGACTTCTATCACTATGCACTCTTTGAGGACGAGAGGATCACCGCGACGGCGACGAACTTGCTTCTTGAGGAGCAAGAAGACGAAGTCGGTTCGATGCTGGCTGATTCGATCGGAAATTCGGTACGGACGGTCCTGTCTACTGTAGCGGGAGGTGTACGGCCGGCGACAACTAAACCACCACCGCCGAAAAGGCATACACTTTCGCCTTCTTTCGCAGAGGTGTCGGTGAAACAGTCGTCGTCACCGTCACCTCCACAACCGTTTGTACCGAAACCTCCACGTGTCCTTCCACGGGACTGGAAGACTCCCGCCATCGAGGAGGACGGCTTCGAAGAGGTTTGTTGTTGAAATTTCGGTTGTCTATCGCTCCCACTTTCCTATCGATCCATACTTTTGGATGGCTATTTGCGGCTATTTTTGTGTGGTATTTTAGATGTCGCATAAATAGCAATCAGACTTTAGAGGGGTTTTGTCGTAGTTATTACTCCAGTTATTGCATTTGTGCATCCTTTGACATGACTAATTTTGAAACGAGTCCTTAGTTCCAGAGGGCGAATGAATGGCACTAAACACGTTCTAAAACATTACGTTTGTCAAGTTAGAATGTTTTTTTCTCAAGCCTTCCAAGATTATATTACTTTATTATATTCGTGCTAGAAATTCTATTAATACATTGAAAATAGTTTTCATGATTACTTCTGTTGGTAGGTGCTCAAGCTTCCGTAGGTCAGCCAACCCTTCTTCGCTATCTCGACTGTTACCAACACTCGATCAAGCCCCACCATTTTGCAAACACTNCAACTCTGACAACCAGGCTGCATCTATTATGGTTATATTATGCTCTTCTCTTGTCCTTGATTGTGATTGATTCTATATATGTTTTTGATCCTCTTCATGGCTGTGCGGACCAACGTGAGACGTTCATGCGTCGCATGTTGTCTTGTTGATGCTCAGAGAAGATAGTGCTTGACGTTATCCAATACTGCAGTGTGAATCTGCAGTTTCGAGCTTTGTTAAGGACGAGAATCAGGAACGCTTTCGTTTACGAAAATTGACGAATAGATGGGCCGAAAAACTTCAAAACTTCAGTCTCGGATGGAACTCGAACCCGTACTTGTACTTCAAAACGAGTTCTTTATGAACGCTCTGAACGGAAAGAATTTATTGCCTCGTGTCGCTCGAGCTAAGAATGTCCGCTGGACAGCACTGGCTCGCTGTAGAGTTGAATGAAGACATCAATATCGCCCACTCGAGGAAATCGATGATCGACGTGACAACAGGCGATACAGAAGATACAGGTGATCTTGCGCTTTCAGAGGAAGGACTTCTCACTCCGGTAAAAAGTCAGAGATCTGGAGAACATCTGAACGTTCCAAGAACGACATCCCGCCGTAATCAAACGCCATCGGATGCTCTTTCGGTGAGTGAGCAAAAAAGTAGTAGACAACTGGCCCAGCCTGCTAAAGGCACAGTTCACATTGAAAATTCTTCTCAGATTTGTCCATATGATGATTTTGTGATCCCCGAGGACGTTTTCCCAGAGCTGTCGGGTCGAAAAATGGCCCACGTAATAAAGATATACTCCAAAGTATACTCCGACGTACACTCAAGAGGTAGGACAAATTCTCAAAGCGCTGTAGAGGCTGTAAAGTTGCACCATTCGCATCGGCATGTACACGTTGTACGCAGGCAGCTTATGTAGAAAGCAGTACGCAGTGGCATACACATTTGGACGACTCATCCAGATACCCTCTTCCATGCATTATTTTTCGTCACCACAACATTCGTCTGTTGTCATTTCGTCACTCGTTTTTCAATTCAGTCACTTTCTACCACCTACCATGAGTATCCTAACTTTGTGAACTACGAATTTCCGGCCAAATACACGCAAAGCGGCATACACAAACACATATTCAGACAGCACACACGCTTGTTACTTGATAAGTATGTAGTAAGTATAAGACGCTGAACACTGTGTATTTCTTCGCTTTCTTTGCCACCGACTCGCTATTCTCCATCAGTACTTTTTTACCTGAGAGAAAGTAAAAGTCTAAAGTTCAAGTCTTGGGGCGTTAATCGATCCCGTCAGAGGAATGCGCCCACGCATTCGACTTTCATTGAAAATCGAAGTGGCGNTCAGACAGCACACACGCTTGTTACTTGATAAGTATGTAGTAAGTATAAGACGCTGAACACTGTGTATTTCTTCGCTTTCTTTGCCACCGATTCGCTATTCTCCATCAGTACTTTTTTACCTGAGAGAGAGTAAAAGTCTAAAGTTCAAGACTTGGGGCGTTAATCGATCCCGTCAGAGGAATGCGCCCACGCATTCGACTTTCATTGAAAATCGAAGTGGCGTAGTGAATGCGTATCTGGGCTATACATTGACTTGCGGTGACTAGCCATTGTACAAGTTGGTGCTTTTACCCGCCCAGACGGATCTGGTACCAATCAACCGACCCCGGAGGATGGAATGGGGTGGTTAGCCTGGGGGATATCGATCTGGGGTTCAAACCCGTGACCATGCGTGTGTGAGATGCGCAACTTGGCACTACATCACCTCCGCCCATGTTTGATTCCGGCTAGGGCCTTAGAAAGTATATTCTAGTTTATTGCTGTACCAGTTGGGCTATGCACACTAACGCGTGTACAATGCCATGCCCACTACCGCTTACCTTAGAGGGCGAATATAAACAGTATCGGTTGACTTCCCTATTCTAACCGTTTCCCCATTAGGTGATATCCCCCAATTTGAACGATCTGATGCCACTTTGTGGGTATTGGTCTCTTGACAATGATAGGCGGTCGTGGAATTGTTTCTATTCTAACGTTGTCTAGTTCCTAGGGCTTTGGTTGCCCTGCGTCGTGGGGGCAAGTAGTCTGTGACGTCATAATTAAGCTGGATATTAATCAAGGGACCAATATAAAGAGCATCGGTTGACTTTCCATTTCATAACTTTTTCCTCACCGCGCTCTTGTGATCTTCACGCTCTTGATCGTGCCTACGTGACTTTATGGAGGACACACAGACGGGCATACAAACAGACACGCAAAGTTAGCGCTTTATATATAGAGAGGATTTGAGCTTCATTCACACTTGTTAAAATCGGGCGACCCGACTGGTGGCATGTAAGCCATTAAGAAGGCGAGGGCAGGTGGGGCCTCGGTAGTATGACGAATAAAGAGCACGGTGCCCGCATAGCACAAGTACGAGTTCAAGTCCCGTCTGAGGCCAAAGTTCTGCCCACAAATCGCCATCCTTCTGAGATTTTTAGATCGCGAACTGCGGCGATATAATAGCAGTTAACAAAACATCAAGTCAAAACAAGTAATTTTTATCCATACACGAAAGGTCATGAAAAAAAGCACTTCAAAATTGTCATGAACTATGCATTTGGCCGGCCGGCTGCCTTTCTTGTCGCGCCTACGATTCTTATAAGCCCTCACATCACAGGTCTATTTAACTCTCTACCCTGATGCCTTACATATTTCATGCTGGTGCTCAGGTTTGGTGCATTCGATTGTGCATATAATAACAGAACGGCGAAAAGAGGGTGAACAAACATTTCTTCCGTAGGAATGTCAAATATGTTAGGCATTGCATTCGAAAGCGCGCATCTGAAGGGATATACGAAAAGTGAAAGGGGCTGGCTCAGTCGATACTATTTGAACGGCATCCACAATAATACAGTTAGCTGCATCGCGGCCCGATGTCGTCATCATGGCTTTTCGAGAAAATATTCGTTAACTGAAAAGAAGCATTAGTGACCAAGATCAATGTGGAATTTTGAAATGGAGCGTCATGCAAGGAAAATCAGCTGCTCGTCGTGCTCAGGATCGGCATTTGCGAGGTAAGGTAATCTCTGACTGTAATGCCGAAAATTGGGCGCGAAAAAGCGAATATACAAAGTAAGGGGAACGGATACAAATGGTGTCCATAACAGTTTCTGCACACATGGAGTGGCCCATAGCCGGATTATGACTCAAGAGAAATGATCGAAAATATGTATGTGCCTATATTCACACACAGAAGCTTCAGTCCAGAATTGAGTTGGTTCATATAGCGATAATCTGTTCACCTACCGATGCCACCCGCTGCTCTCAAAACGGGCGTAAGCTAAATACGAAAGTCGGGTGGTTTGGTACAAGGAGCCTAAAAGTTACAAGCGTCGGGCTTGGATGGATGCCGATGAGGAGCCGCTCGAAATGGCTCGTGAAGTGCTGTCCAGAGCGGATGTTCATCATGGCAGTGGATTTCTAAGCCCGACGCCACTCATTCTCGAAGGGAGACCGTCACTGAATTGTATAGCCAGTTTCTCGACCACAATAACGACGATTGGATGGCAGCACAACTTAAATAAAGCAATTATCGCCCATGAGAATAGATCGACTTATGCAGCAGTATACAGACGAAAAGACTGACTTGGCAACTGGTCTCCCGTCGAAACTGACATCACACCATCTCAATGCACTTGTTGAAGAAGAGAGCTGCTCGATGTCAAATGCTACCTGAGCGGTGGGAACGAATCTTTGACAGTGAGGGGGCGTACCTGCCCGACCACTGAGTATTATATTTTAATATCTCTTTGCTACCTATATGCTNTTCATTCTATTCAAATGAAGCGAAAGCTATGGCTGGTTCGGTATTAGTCGATGGAAATGGTTTCACCCACGGATAAGATGCTGAAGCATCTTACCGGTGGGTAAAACCATTTCCATCGACTGACATCCAACCAGCCATAGATTTCACTACATCAGATAAATAGCTGTAGTGAGCTGATGCAAAAAAATTGAATTGCGAAGAGGTGACTGACCCCGACCGGTCTAAGTGCAATTATCCCCTTGAAAAAAGCTCACTTTGTTGAAGCTCCACGTGTCTTATTGAAGATTGACGTTGCTAACAATAAAGCCAAACATTTAAGCACACTATCAGATACTGATTTCTCTGAAAGAATGGATCGGTGTAGCATAACAATAATGACTCAGTTTCTCTCTTTCACGCAGTATTCTCAGTTCTGCTCTTTTATCTTACAAGGGAAGGATCCCAAGTCGAAGCAACCATTTGAAATTAGACTTATAGTGCTATACGTATTTCCGGGTGCTGATTTCAAATCTGCTTCACAAATTTGCCAAATGATTCTCCGAACGAGGTTATAACGTTGTTCTCAGGTGATTTCTCTACGCGAACCTGCATTTAAGACATAGAAGCAGAAGGGCTAGCTGCGGTGACTTGGAGCAGTAGTGAGCGTGACGCTTCATAGATGTGAGACCATGGATAGAGTTTTGTGAGGAATGTGGTCTTACCTTTTGCGATCAGGAGGAGGAGGGGGGGGGAGGGGGAAAGAGGTTTCTCGAAGACGGAAAGCCATTGTATGTTGATCTACCACCTTAGGGGCCTTTGAAGCCTGGCGCTATTCTCTTCTTACCTAAGCCGTTCAGCCGTTCAATATCACATGTAATTCATTGCTTACCCATGTACATCATGTACATCAGCCTCTGTGGGATCTCTGATGGAAAGGCACACCTTGCAACTTACAGCTTCCCTTGCAACTTACAGCTTCGAGAGGGTTGAAGAGAGCAGAAAGGGTTGTGCAGTCAGTCTCTGCTAGAAGTCGCTCTTTCACAGCATGTCTTACCTTTTCGCCGATGGCCACTTATTGTTAGGTCAGGATGTTAGTGCTGATCTAGGCCTTTTGCAGAATATTCTGCATTTTACTTATGTTTCCAAATCTCGCCTTTATAGGAAAATACCGGCCAGATTCCGAAGCAGGGATTCTCCCGTTAATTTGATTCAGAGGCAAGAGAATTTTTAACGCTTATCATGAGCAAGCACTTCGAATTAGGGTTGCACTCACCAACATAAATATT